ACAACAGAGAGAGAATTAAATTCAGCGCTTTTATTTCCAACATGCGCTCATTCATGGCTATATTATTTAACTCATGCAAAGTTACGTCTTTATTGGTAGAGGATCTTGACGGATTATCTACGTGACTCCGACTTCACGAGACTAACGAAAAATCGATATATCGGTCGATCTCTAATTGTCTGTAACATATTTTGCATAAAAACACTCAATGGCTGTGTAAACAACACCCTTTTGCCTTGTCAAAAACAGCTCTGCTCACACCAACCCGTTTTGGTGTATGGCTCTTTAAATGATAATGAGTTACTGCGCACCCCACACCCCTTCTGGGATTTCCACTAAAAATAAAAAAAAATCCACTCCTCTCTTGTCTCCTCTGAGGCTGGGACTCTAAATAATGATTTGTGTTCGTCTGTGCAGCCAACGACAGAACATTTAGCATGTTTTCCGCAAACTTTTGCCATGGCATCAGAACAAGTACAACGCTGTCGCTTGCGAAAACAACAATGGCGGCTGAGCACCGTGGGTGGAAACATGCAGATTAATCGGCGGTAATATTATAATAAGAAAGGGAAAGAAATCTGATCGGCTCATTTTCTCACATGCTTGCAGAGAAAGCCCTTAAACACGGAAAAAGTCAGATTTTCATCTGATGAGCCCTTTAAGAAGAAAATGACAGGCTTTGTGATACCTGATTGTATGGTGGTTCTTGCTGAAAACACTCTGATCAACTCTGAAAAACCCTTAAAGGCCATCTTTTTGCGCCGCATGCAGATAATCATAATAAGCGTGCATACCATTTTCATCATGATTGGCTTAAAGGGAATTCATAATTCGTTTAACATGTTGTTGTTTTTTTTTTGTTTTTTATGTGCTATGTATTTTACATTTTTGCTAGCATGAACTCGTCTAGAATATGGGCAATATTATAAGTGCTGAATGCTGCCAAAAATTATGTCTCAGTTATACAATTAAAAATGAGAACTCTATTTGAATCGTTTTTGTAGAGTTGTTACTAAACTTCAAATTCAGCAAAAGTCACACATAATCATAACTGATCATTGTTTACATTAGTGGTGTCACTTCAGAGTAGTTATGTGCTACCCTAATAATAGTTGATGTATTATATGTAACTAGTGTTATGTACTTAATGGTTAATATTTGAAACAAAACATTCAGACAACCAAAAAACAACAGACCATTTTTTTTAGGAATTCTATTTAGTTTTTTTTTGTTTGTTTGTTTTTACGTTAAAAAAAGATAACATTTCTCAAGAAATGTTTTAGGAAATACAAAATATTATATATAAAAAAATATATATTTTAAAAAACAATATATTTAAAAATATTAATAATTAGAAATTAACAATTAAAAAAAAATATGGATTATTCATGAATGTGGCTCCAGATCATTTTAGCTGATTCAGTCATTTCTCATTTTCTCATAATTTTCATAATATACTCACTTGTTGATGTTATGTTACAGCGCTTCAGTGTTTTTGAAATAGCTTTAGATGTAGTAAACATATATCGATGAAAAAATGCCAAAATGGCCATTTTCTCTTTAACAATCAGTTGTTGTTTTTTTTGTAGCTTTCGTCAAGTTAGGTAGAAAATTCTCATAGCATAGCCTTTATTACTTCTTGGAATTGTTGCATTGCTCTTGTTTGCTACGGTTTTCAGCTGGCTAATACCCTGCTGGAGAGAGAGGTGGTCAACTATGATGACATTGAGGCTTTGCTGGGACCTCCTCCGTTTGGACCCAAAAAGATGATTGCCCCTCAAAGCTGGGTGGAGGCTGAAAGAGACAAGCAGGACACTGGTGAAGATGAGCCACGCAGACCCCAGAGACCCCTCCGCAAAGACAAAGATGATGACATCAACCTGAGCCCAGCGTGAGCTCTGCAACACATGCAATCACATTCACGGTCTTTAATGGACACTTGAAAGTCCAAGAGTGGAGCGGCTGCCTTTGAGGATCAGTCTGATTTTCAAAATTGTGCTTTTAAGGGGGGGAAAATGCTTTTCTTGCCCTTGATGTTCCAGTTAGACCCACTCTGATTGACTGAAAAAATAATGGCAACATTCTTGGTTTACCTTCTATGCTGATCATTGACCAGTAATTCTATTTTAAATGTCTTAGGGCATTTGATTAAAAAACAAAAACAACAAACAAGCATCAATCAAGCGTTAAACGGTAATATTCAATGTGTTTTTCTCAATAAGGTAGATCTCTCTTAGAGAGTAGTAGATACCTCCTTTGAGAATTGCACGAAATGTACTGTTTTTAAAACAGTGGTTGTGCTTTTTGAGCTTCTTTCCAGGCCATACAGATCAGCTGTTAGTTCCCTGAGAAGCTGGTTTTGTTAGACCAGGTGAGCATTGCCAGCGGTATGTCTGAAGTCATCTTGTGATGTCAGTGGATATTCTGCACCATATGCAATAAATTATTAAAATGGTGTTGAATGTCAAAGATTTTTTATTTTACAAATTGCTTAATCATAAATAATGTTTTTGTCAGATGACAATGTTGGGTTTTTTTTCGTCTTTTTTATAGAAATTGGCCAAAACTACCATTGCAAACTAAATAACTGTCTCTCTTTACTGAAAATACAGGCTGGTATTGTTCCAATCTTTTATTTATAACTAAAAGAAAAGATAATAACAGCATTTCACATTTTCTTATGAAATAAATATTAAAAACAAAACTATGTAGTTCAAAATTGAGAAACACAGAAACTAACAAAATAATTACAATAGGCATTATGTAATTAGGAAAAACTTGTGTTCCTGAGGGGAAAGCAAAAAATATGTACATTTGAAGCATCATTAATTTGGCAAACTGTGTTAATAGGCTGCATATGAAAATTATAATTATTCCTAATATTAAGGCTCTTTAAATGTCTTGGATTTACTTACTGACGTTAACTGCAGGCAAGCAAAAAATAGTATTACAAGCACATATATTACACAAGATACTATTCATGTATAAAAAGAATGAAATAAGAACAATTGTTCAAAAGACCAAGTTTAAAAAATCATGTTATCAGTCCATCTGTCTTTAAAAAAATGCATTGATTGTTCAATATCTATTTTTAAGGAAAATTACTTTCTTCCACTGAAACACAAGGATAGGTAACACTTTACTTGAAGGGGTGTGCATAAGACTGACATGACACCTTCATAATCATGACATGACACCTACATAATCATGACATGACACATGTCATGAATATGAAGGTTTTTTATGCATGTTTATGACAACTGTCATTAAGTGTCATTCGCTCAGTTATGTCATTTTTTAATGCAAATATGACATTATTTGACCTAACCCTACCCCTACCCTTACCCCTAACCATAGCCCATAACAAAGACATCTGAAACAATGTCATCTTTGCATTAAAAATTACATAACTGAGCGAATGACACAATATGACAGTTGTCATAAACATGCATAAAAAACCTTCATATTCATGACATGTGTCATGTCATGATTATGTAGGTGTCATGTCATGATTATGAAGGTGTCATGTCAGTCTTATGCACACCCCTTCAAGTAAAGTGTTACCCAAGGATATATGTGGAAGAATTTCTGTGCTGCTGTTTTCCATACAACTAAAGGATATAGTAACCATGGGACACCAAGCTCATGTCAAAAAGGACATATAAATGCACCATAAAAGTGTTCTATATGACTTGTGCCCAATAGTCTGTGATTTTTTTTTTTTGAGGAACAGACAAGAATGTGGCAGCTGCGGAAGACATGAGGGATATTTACATGCCACAAATTATTAATTTTTTCACTTTCTCTTTATATCCATTGATTACCATACATTAGCATTCCAATCACCTGTATTGACTTGAACATGCTTTTTTTTTTAAATCACATAAGATTTAAAATTTCTCTTTGGTGCTTTTACTATCATCGGTTATTTGCTATAACCAATGTCCTGTGGTTTTACTACTATCAAACCTGGCACTGCGCAACTTGATGCACCATATCTGACAATATCTTTTTTTTCCCCCTTTTTTTTAAGAAAAGAGCCGTTTTGAAATTTACCAACATATAAAACATCCTTCTGTGTTCGATAGATTAAAGAAAGTCATATGGGCTCACAGTGACTCTTATAAGTAAATGAGTATTCAGGAGTATCATTTTCTTTTTTGGGTGAATTATTCTTCCTGTTTACCCCACATGCTCAGCAAAACTCAGCATCGGTCATCAGCTAAAATAATCCCTAAAGAGCATGACACATGTTTTATGAACAAAGCATCTCTTGCATCATGTCTAATCAGTATGCACTAACACACGGTTCCTCCCTACAGTCGGTGCTTTCACAATAAGCACCTGTCACATCAGCATGTTGAAATAGTTCACTGATCCATGAAAGAAATGAAAAAGACATAGTGTGTGTGCAGTCTCTATGACACTGATGACCTTTAACCATATCACTAGGGAATATAGATAGAGACCTCCATTTATCTACATGATCAATAACGTAAACCGCCCCTTTCATCCTTACATCATGAGCACTCTCATATTGAAGATGGGACATTTGATTTGCATGGAGTTTTGAAGGGCATGCATGTATGAGAGTATCTTGAACAAAAGAATCAGTCTGGTAGCTAACGTGGGTCGTACATGCTAGCCAGTTTTTTAAACCGTGGTCCCCAGTCATTGAGGTAGTCATAGTCCTGGTCACCATCTGAGCCCATGGAAGCGATAGAGCTAAGACTGCCTGCTACCGACCCATCGCCCTCATAATCATAGATCAGAGCTGTATCGTATGGTGGGACGTTCGGGTCATTGTCAGCAGCGTCCAGGCCCTGTTGGGGTGAAGCAGAAAAAGTGAAAATTATCAAAAAGTGCATTTGATTTTCATTGTTCATTGCAAAGAAAAAAATTTTTTCATCAGAATTTCGGAGAATATGTGTACATTCATCTTCATTCAATTTTAATGGTCAAATAAAGTTTTATATTTCCCATTAATGTAATTCAATTATTTTACTGTGTTTTTTTTTTTTAAGTACTTCAAAATACTAAAATTAATACTTGACTTAAATTACATCAGAATTTACTGATTTAGCAATTAAATTTGTAAATATAAATTCCAAACTTTGACAGTTAAAATAGCACTTAATGAGGATTAGTAATGATAACTAAAACTTTTAGCAATTATTATTACATATTTAGGACTGCGAATAGTAGATGAAGATACTGGAATATACTTGTGGTGGTCTCCCAAATTTGTGGTAAACACCTTGGTACTTTAAGAAAATAGCATTTCTTTAAAAAAATCAACTAACCTTTTCTAAGTAAATGTTAAGGAAATTTACTGAAATTACCCACAAGTATTCCAGAATGAATCTTATTTCCTATAAAAGAAACCTCACTTACAACATTGATGAAATCTTCGATGTCGGTCGGGTCTCCTGGGGGTTTGCGTGGATATGTAGGAGAAGGCAGGTTATGAGGTGCATCTTTCCTTAGAGGCTGTTTTCCTCTGGACAGGCCGCAGTCTTGTGGGAAAAATGAGGCTGGGGCAGGGACTATGTCACTTGGGTTCCTCAGAAAATCAATATTAAATGCATCCTATTGGACAGAAACAGCTTTAGGTATTTCAGGAAGTTTACCATTTCACCTCAAAGCAGATATAAATTCAACAAACATCCAAAACACCAGGGGCCTCATTTATAAAATGTTGTGTATAAACCGTCCTAAATTTGTTCTAAGATCATTTCTCAAAAATGCGTAAGTGCGATTCAGAGAAAATAAACGTGCGCACAAAAACACATGCGCAGGCCTCTCTTCCAGATGGGATATTTATAAATCGCAAATGATCTTGAAATTGTGCACAGCTGACTGGTGTCAGATCTCCGCCTTGTAAACGCCCCCTAATTAATATCATAACCATATAAAAGAGCACACGCCAATAGCCGAATTTCTATTCTTGAGAATGACGAGCACAAAGAAAAAAAAACTATTGAGTCTGAAACATAGACTGTATAAAAATATGGACGTAGTGTCTGTGACGTCACCCGTAGGGTTCCGAAGATAGTTTTTGAAGCTCAAAAGTGGGCGGAGGCGGCCGTCGCCATCTTGGCAGCGCGTCACTCCCGGATAATCGAAGATGGGCAAAGAGGCGGGAGCTGGTTGTTGAAACCACGCCCACCTAGCTCGATGGTGGTGACAGCAGCGGCAATCCACCTGTCACTCAAGTGGCCACGCCCTTAATTATGCAGAACTTTAAGGCTTAATATAATTTAAACGGATGAGTTATAAAAAAATTCACCCCCCTCACAGTTGTCATGAAGGGCAAAATTAGCTATATAGACCAAAACCACTTTTTGTACCAGGCTGTAAACATATTTTTTTCTGCTGTAAAGTTGTCATTTTAACATGGGGAATCTATGGGACTGACTCCCTTTTGGAGCCAGTCTCTAGCGGTCAGTCTATGAATTGCAGTTTTAGTCACTTCCGTGTTGGTTTCAAAAAGGCGGGAGCTGGCTGCTGAAACCACGCCCACCTAGCTCGACGGTGGTGACAGCAGCGGCAATCCACCTGTCACTCAAGTGGCCACGCCCTTAATTATGCAGAACTTTAAGGCTTAATATAATTTAAACGGATGAGTTATAAAAAAATTCACCCCCCTCACAGTTGTCATGAAGGGCAAAATTAACTATATAGACCAAAATAATTTTTTGAACCAGGCTGTAAACATGTTTTTTTATGCTGTAAAAGTTGGGCATTTTAACATGGGGAGTCTATGGGATTGACTCCCTTTTGCAGCCAGCCTCTAGCGGCCAGTTGACGAATTACAGTTTAAGTAACTTCCTTGTTGGCTTCATGAGAGAAAGCGGGAGGTTGCCGCTCGGTCTGAAATTGAGGTCCTGCAGGCGGAGGTAGAGGTTGGTGCGGGGACGCTTTTTATTTCATAATGTGTTATTATTCTGTGGACAAACAATGTGTGTGTGGTTAAATTTTTTTCTATTGACTATTATCAAAATTACTACTTCTAGAAACAACAGAAATAATAATAATAATAATAATAGTAGTTATTATAAAACAATTAGGTTTCCAAAAGTAAGAAACTACGAATTCAAGTAAAATTTTCAGTCATCTTATAAAAAGTGAGCCATCCTACTTTTAAAATCACTTGCTATGACAACTAATAAAAGTTTAGTATCACGAAATTCTTGCAAATCTTAAAAAAACATTATTG